GGCTATTGTCGTCGCTCACGTACGGGAATATCGAATAAGCAAACGTCTTGTTCACTTCAATTTTCAAAGGCAGGCGTTCAGAAGCAGTTATAGATGGTAATCGATGAGATGGGGGCAGGTCGAGAGACGGCAGGAGAGAGGGAAGAGAGTCGTAGCCTCGCGTGCGTGCGCTTTTACTGAGACCGTGTCGATATAATCAGGAATAAGATAATATAGAATTCTATATTAGATTAATAGATTCTATATTATCTTACTCCTGATATAATTATACTCAGAGAGTCTCTATATATATATGTGTCAGTGTGCGGCAGCGTGCGTGTGTGTTGCAGAGGAGCATTTGCACGGCATTTACAGGAAATTGTCGGCAATGCATAATAGGCGAAAGAGAGTAGAGAAACATTAAGACTTTGGTAGTAAATAGATTTCGTATTTATTTAGCATTAGATTTTATTGAAACGCTCCAAGTGCCTGTGGCAGGAGAGAGGCGAGCGGGTCGTAGTCCCGCATGCGCGCGATTTTACTGGCACCGTGTCGCGCGCGTAACTCGCTGCGACGACAAATATGATTTCTTTCTAACGAGAAAACGTCGGCAAAACGACGAGAAACGGCAAAACGACGAGAAAACGTCGGCAAACATCGGTTACGTGTGCTGACGGCGTGTCGTATAGACAAACACGTGTTAAATGCAGCGGTTCATTGCTCGTTTACGCGAAAAACCGAGAGAAATGACGTCTCCTAGTTATGGAATATGCCATGTTTTACCACCAGACAGTGATTAATGGCATGGCAAATAATGTATTTTGAAGTCAAGTTATCCCCGGATTCCGTTCAGTAGAACTTCATGAATTGGCAAAAAAACGCCTTTTTCAGTTTTACGTCATGCTTCGTTTAATAAGTTGAAGGAGGGACCCGCATGTTATTAAGAGCCGTCGTCTCGAAATTGATTCAGTAGTCGCATGATTGTTAGTAGGCCTTGTTTCCAAACAACAACAATAACAACGAAGACAACAATAATAATATTAATAACAGTAGTTCTACTGCACGAAATTTATCAAGCACTCAATAATAATAATAATAATAATAATAAACACAATAAATATTGTGGTGAACATAGCAGGGCCTGTCATAATAGACTCATGTAGGGGCCAGTGATCAGTGAAAAAAATACACGGGGGCTCGGGGCGATTTAGCCCCCGAAATGCCAAAAAGAGCCCCCGTAAATTTGCATAGAGTTCAATGCAAACCAAATTTTAGAGTGCTATTTTCATGCACGCAAGCTTGAAAAGTAGCTCCCGAAAAATAATTTTTTTTCCTGCCAGTGATGTATACTGCACTACACGCTCACCTGTTTTGCAGGCGGTGCACATCGACTACAACGTCTGCTTTGAGAAGGGAAGAAGCCTGCGCGTTCCTGAGAAGGTGCCATTCCGCATGAGCCAGAACATAGAGACAGCCCTCGGTGTGACCGGCATTGAGGTAGGCACCGTGTGTGCACGCGTGCGTGCGTGCGTGCGTGCGTTCGTGTGTGCACGCGTGCGTGCGTGCGTGCGTGCGTGCGTGCGTGTGTAAGACACCAACTATCATTACTGTGTGGCATCGGTGATGGTGAAGGAGGATGAGGAAGCAGAGAAGGGATAAACGTAGAGGAGGACGGGGATTAAGTGCTCGAAGAGGACCGGTGGGGTCGAAGAAGAGGTATAGGAAGGGGACAAACACTCTACTGTTCTACTCACATGCAGGTATTTAAGGTAGGATTATTTCAGTGTTGCAGCTCCGACGAATAGAGACATACATACATACATAACGACACATATGTATCCGACATACATACATAATAACACACATTTTTCACGTGATGAGGTAGTGCTTGCTGATTGGTCGGACGAGAATTTTCCATCGTTGCAAGTCGCTGTCTACCCGCACACATGCGATTTCGAAGCGATTTCGGAGCGATTGCGAGCGACGAGTTGCTGAAATTCAAATCGGTTTGATTTCTTGCAACTCGTTGCAGGCGACCAGAATCGCTACGGGTTGCAGTTGCACGTTCCCCGCAGACGTAGCGATTTCACAGCAGTTTCGACTGCGATTCTAGAATCGCTGCCGAGTTGCATGAAAAAGTCGCAAGTCTGCGCTAGGGTTTACACTGCCCGCGTGCCTGCCTGTAAGCCCCCAGCACCGGCCAGCGACAACCACCAGCAAGCAAACACAAGTACTCTCTAATCTGATTTCTCTCATGATTCATTGATATGTTGCTAGCAGTTGACATACGGGGCCGCTCTCCCTCGCGCTCTCTCTCTCTTCTCTCCACGCACGGGCACGCACGCAGCCACGCACGCGCACGCACGCACGGCACGCACGCACGGCACGCACGCACTTTCTCTCCGCGCTCCCTCCCCCTCTCTCTCTGTCTCTCTCTCCTCGCGCTCTCTCTCTCTCTTCCCTCTCTCCCTTCTCGCTCGCGCGCGGGCGCGTCGCCCCTCGCTCGGTCGGCACGTAAACG